CAGGGGCAGGATGCTCCTGCCCCCCGCCTGGCCTTGCAACCAGGACCTTGTTGAAAGGCAGAGGCATGCGAGGGCAAGGGACCCCCTGCCCTTCCCAGCTCAGCCTGGAGATGGGGTCTGGCAGTGCCCCCTGCTCCGGAGCAGCCAGTCCCCTCCTCTCTGAGTCACTCACGCCTCGGTTGTACCCGTTCCCCCCAACCCAGGGCTTCGCCTTCCCCTGCCATGCACCCAGAGCCACTGGCTTGTCCCAGCTCCGGGGGAGTGTGGTGGGTGGACAAGGGGGAGGAAACTGTGTGGGCAGGGAGGGGATGATTTCAGCTGCTGGCTTGCGATCTTCCCATCTTTCTTCTCCCTCTCTTCCCACAGTTTGGTTTTGTTTTCTCTGGCATGGGAATTGGGCCACTGCGAGGAGGAAGGGGATGGAGTCTGAGCAGAAAATAGTTCCTTCCCTGAACGACATGTGAAATCCAGCATAGAGGCGTGTTAGTTTTAGTGTCCATGGCGTTGGCAGTGGCAGGGGGGTGGCACGTAGGCAAGTGCTATCTCGGGGGTGGGCAGCACAAAGGGCAGGAAAAATATATATATATATATGAGAAAGGTAGAAAAACATTCCCCCTTTCACTTCATGTGTCCAACGTGCGCTGTTAACGAGGGGCTTTTAATAGAAAAGTGGGACAAGCTCCTTTTGAAATTGTGCACAGGCTTCCCCTCTCAGATCTCTCTGTTTTCCAAAGCTGGGAGGCAGAGTGGATCATTATGGCTTTAGGGACCCTGCACCCAGCATGCACACCACGTCCAGGTCTTTTTGAGGTGGGGTATCGGGACCCACAGTCCCATGCACAAAATCAGCCTTGTTGTGGGGAAAAGCAAGGTAGGAAAAGGCTTGAGATCAGAGCTGTGGGGCAGGGGAAAAGGTAGAGCCCCTAGGATCTGAGGTCTTTCCCTGCTCCAGGTATACCCCTGCTTTGTGCATAGTGTTGGAAATTGGGCACTATGGGGTTGCAGAGGCTGTGATGGCAAGGAGCAAGCCTGGGGAGGTGGCATGCATAGGGACAGAAAGAGCTGTGTGGATACTTGGGTGGTTGAAGCTGAGCCCTTGGCAGCCAGGACCACCAGGGGTAGGACGTGACATTCCTTGCTGTCTCTGCAGAGAGGCTTTGCATTAACCAGCTGGCTATGACAAGCCTTCTGTTGATGCAACATGTGGTTTTGGCTTTCCAGAACCCAGCCCCAGCTCCCTATACTGAAATATATGCCCTTGCTCCTGCTCTGAAGGCTGTCTTTGGAAAAGGATGCTGGCTCCTGCCTGCACAGCGTCTTGCTCCTCATTCCAGCTGCAGCAGGGAGCCCCTCCATCTGCCTGTCCCCAGCCCGTTCTGCCCAGTGTGCTGCTCTGTGCGTGGTTTCAGGCTCGGGAGGCTTTGCTCAAGGCAAGGCAGCACTGCAGAAAGCAAGATGCTGTTGTTGGGATGATGTCTTAGGAAAGGCAGGAATGAAACAGCTCTCAGGCCCAAGGAAAACGTTTATGCCACAAGGATCAGACCAGCAATTGCTTGAATTCAGTACTCTTGTCCAGAACCTGCAGCTGTTTCAGGAACTGCCTTTAGCTGGGGGAAGCTCTTTTCTCACCTCTTTTTAGCAACTGGGCTAAGCTGTTGTGCAGGGAAACCCCATTCCCTGCCCAGCCCCTGCTTGTCCAGGGCCTTAATGCAGAAACGTGGCTGCTGGCAGCAGGCAGTCACGCAGGCACATGAAGAAGGGGCAGGAAGCATGCTCTGCCTCATATAACTTTTGAATTTGCTGCCTTTGAGCCCCTCCTTCCCCATTGCCCCATCCTGGCTGCTCTTCTGGGCATGCATGCTGCGATTGCTAGTTGGTCTGCGACTCTCCTTGGCTGCCAGGGTAAAAAGTGAGGGCCAGGAGGCTCCAGAGCAGCAATAAAGGCTGGTGGCTCTGAGCAGGGCTGGCAGACAGGCCTTAGGAGTGGCAAAAGCAGTGCAAGGGGTCTGAGCATATAGTGTGTGAGGACAAGGCTGCCGGGCGGCATTAACCAGGCACCCGCTGCCTAAATTCAGTGGCAGGTGAAAGACAGATTGCCATGTGGTGCTTAATGCCTCACCGAGAGGGATGCTCAACGGGCAGTGTGTGAAAGCTGAGTTTGGCCAGGGGCTGTCACTGTGCCCAGGGAACGTTAGGAAGGTTGATTTAAGTCCTGGATCAAACTTTATCTGTGCCGAATTCCAGGTGTTGAACTGCATGAAAAAGAGCTTCTTTCTTATCCATTTTCTTTTTCTCTTTTGAGTTATTTATTTTTTTCAATAGGTCAAGGTAACTACAGGAACAAGATTAGCATGACTAGTGGTACTCTATGCTGGCCACAGTAATAGCAGAAGAAAAAGAAACAGTGGGAGGTCTGTGTCCCTGTGCTGCAGAGCACAGCTGGGTCAGCAAGCAGGTTCAGGAGCCAGCCGTGACCCTGAGCAGCACTCTGAAGCTGCAGATCACTTGTAGGGTGGGTGAGAGGGGAGATCATAAGGTGCTGCTGCCTTCTGGCCTGACCTAGATTGATTAGAGTCAGGCTGGGCTGGGATGCTGAGGAGGGGGATGCAAAGCTGGCAGGGCTAGCACGGGAGGGAGCAGTCGTGGCAGCTCGGTGCCCACCGTTGGGTAGGGTTTGGGTCTTGCTCCCCAGCCGGAGCACCCTGGGGCTGTCAGTATGCTCTGGTAAACTGGACCCAGTAAAATGGAAAGCGTCTGGACTCAAGGGACTAGACTGATCTGAGCACGTCTGGAGGAACCAGGTGGGATAGGGAGGGAAACGCCACTTCCAGCCTGCTGGGCTCCTGCATGAGGCTTGGCGAGCTTGGCACAGCACGCTGCGTTCCCCTTGCTAAGGCAGAGCTCCCATGCGCTGACCCCTGTGAGGATGCACCCTGTTCCCCTTTCCCTAGTTTTTCCCATCCCTGTTCCTTACCCTCATCTTCCCACCCCTTCACCCCCGAAAAATGGCAATGAAAGCATGGAGGGAGGGCGCGTTTCCGCATGGTTTGACACTGTTCCCCCTTCCATCTGTCTTTTCCTACCCAGAATTGCCCTACACCCCGTCTCCAATCGATGATCGCAAATCCATGGTGCAGCCGAACATCCCCACACCGGTGATTGGGGGCATAGTGGGAGGAGTCTCGCTGGTCCTGGTGGTGGCTGTGGTGCTCTTTGTGCTACTCCGGCGCCGGCGTCACACCTTCAAGGGTGACTACAGCACAAAGAAGCACGTGTATGGCAATGGCTACAGCAAGGCTGGCATCCCACAGCATCACCCTCCCATGGCCCAAAACCTCCAGTACCCCGATGATTCGGACGACGAGAAGAAGCCGGGCCCGCTGGGCGGCAGCACCTACGAAGATGAGGATGAGGATGCGGGAGGTGAGCGCAAGCTGGGTGGTCCCAACAAATACGAGGAGGATGCTAAGCGGCCTTACTTCACAGTAGACGAGGGTGAGGCACACCCTGAACCTTATGACGAAAGGACACTCGGCTTCCAGTACGACCCCGAGCAGCTCGACATAGCGGAGAACATGGTCTCACAGAACGACGGATCTTTTATTTCCAAAAAGGAGTGGTACGTGTAGCTCGACACCTCATTGCTACACACACACACACACACACACACAGACACCTACACACGAGTGATGCCCTCCCACTCCCCTTGCATCCCCGCCGAGCGGAGCCGAGCGTGCGGCGGCCGCTTGCACACACACTGCACGCACGCTCACCCCCCTGCACACGCGTGTGCACGTCCCTGGCCCAGCCCTGGGTGCTCAGCAGAGACTTTGGACGCTTCCAGCACTGGCAGGAAGGGCGGGCTGGGGTGAGCGGGGAGGGAGGGCAGCTTTGCTTACAGATCATTTTTGGGGTGTATGGGAGGTGGGAGGTTGGGTAATTATTTTCTCGGTTTTGGTTTGGCTTTTTAATTTCTCTTGACAACTTTCGTACCCTTCTGTGGTGTTTGTATTGGTCGGTGGCTTAGGTGTTACTATTTGCTTTAACGACTGTTGCCCAGCCTGTATATTACACTCTGTTTGTGTCTTCATGTCTCAGAGTGCCCTTTGGCCCCACTTCCCTCCCTGAGGTTCCTCCTCCCACTTCTGCACCCCTGAAACACTGGAATTTGTTTGTATGTTGTCTTCTTTGTTTATTTTTAACCTTGGGAGGGGGTCAGGTGGGCTGTCCGTAGAAGGGCAGAGGCCAGGAAAGCTTATGGCAATGGAAACATAGATGCCATTATCAGGTGAACTGATTTTTTGTGTTCCTTATCACTTTCTTTTCAGTGGGGTCTGGGTAGTGTTCCCATTGCCCACTGCACGCCTAGGGAGATCCGCTCCCAGTTTTTAATGACTCAATAAAAGGAAAATGAGGAGGGGCAGGGGGAAAAAAAAGCCTTAGAACAAACCCCAGGTGCATGGGCTGATAGCAGGACAGGGAAACAGAGCTGCTGCCATTTTCCTCCTACAATTTATTATTTCCTGGCTTTTCATTTTCTGTCTTTGTTTGAGTGTTCTTTTAAAAGAAAGAAAAGGAGTATTTATTGCTGACATTTTTTCCCCTGTGATGGCTCAGAGAAATGCTGGCTCTTTTTTGTTCTTTGTTGCTGTTGTTGTTGCTAGTACCAGCCACAGAGCACCTAACTCTGGCACAAGGGTTGTTGGCAATGCGTTGTGCACACGCTTTGCTGCCATTGCCTGGGGAAGGGGACCAACCAATACTGCTTTGCTTCTCCTACAAACTCACTGCCTTCAGCTCTGCTCTGTAGAGCCTGGCAGGGTGGATCTCCCAGGGTACCATCCAGTGTCTTTGAGGGCTTCAGTACAGGATCAGGCCCCTAATTTTTATTATACCACTAAGACTTAATTGTCATGTGTTTACACTTTTTTTGTTGATTTTTTTAGGTCAGAGCATGCTGTCAAACTCTCCTAGCAACAACCCCAGACCCCAGCCCTTAGATATGTTGCTTAGTCTGCATTGATTGCCACTTTTCCAGTATCACATCCCTCTTCTAAGCAAAGGCTTGGTAGACAGGGCAGGAGTGAGTGAGCCTGGGATATTGATCTTGTCCTCCTTCCCTTGAGCCACTGCGTTGTGATGGGGAGGCTTGGATTGCTGCTATCTCATCACTGTGGATAAATGGGGTTCCAGAATTCAGGGTCCTCTGTCTGACACTGACCATATCCAAATTAGCTTATTTTTCTTCTTGTCAGCTGCTTTTTTTTTTTTTTTTTAATTTGATGTATAAATAAATATTTTGTTTGAAAAGAAACCCCCAGTTTTCTGAGCTGTATTATCATGCACATCTAAAACTAGCAAGACTAATTCTCCTCCTGCCTTACCCGCTGGGTTTTGTTCCTGCTACAAAAGGGAGGGTGGAGAGTGAGACCCACGCAGATGAGTCAAGGTCAGATCTCTGATCCTGGCAGCCTCCAGTGCTTTCCTTTAGCCTTGTGGTAGTTGGGTCCAGACAGTGTGAGGCTCAGCCTGAGCCATCCACATTTTGTAGCTTGCTCTTACTGTGTTAATGGTGCAGGGGAGTGGGAAATCCAATTGTTACACCGTAACCTTCTGCTGTTCCTGCCAGCCCTCCCTGCTTCCTGGCTTCTGGCAGAACAGCCAAATGCCACAGGAAGGCTGTGTTATGTCCACTTGAAGACAGAGATTCCCTTGGGATCTCTCAGGCTGAACTTTAAAAAATACAGCTAAACCTTCACGTGTCCATCCACTGCCACCAGGAGCATCCTGCTACTAAGCAACCTCCCAGTAAAGGAGATGAAATCTCTAACTAGTAGGGGCTGATTATTAGATACAGTTGTAAACCTACAAATTTCCCCCAGCACAGATAGATACATATGGGGAGGAGCTGGATTTGGAAGAAAGGAACCTTTTATAAAATCTACAGGGTCCAGCAGTGATTCATTCATGTTCTGCATTAGTCACAGGCAGGGGACACTGATCTGATCTGGCAAATTCACATTGCACTGACTCCACAGTACTGCAGGGCCCTAGCCCACGGTAAAGTTGTGTCCTAAAGACCAAAGGTACAAAGCTTTAGCCTGGGACAGAACGGGACAGTATGGCTGTTCCTGAGTTAAGGTGTGACTTGCAGAAAATATGAACAGGGAGTCCCAAGAAATATGCTGTAGTAGTTATTAGCCTTGCACTTAGAGGTGTCATTTGTTGAGATGTAGCCTCCTTGGCTTATTTGTTGCCCAGTCACACACTGTCCACTTAATTAGTTGAACAGGGGCTCAAAAAGACTAGTGGGACTCAGAGAAAGAAAAGGAGCTAGTGGAGCAATATGGTATTTCCAAGCTAGAGCCTATATACAGTTCCCTTCCTGATACATCACACTTTTTGCTTCCCAATACCACACCAGCACGAGTCTAGGAAAGAGCTCAGCCACTTAGCTCATCAGTGTCGTTCAGAAAAGGGGTCAAATGATTATTTTTCAACCAGAACCTGGGCAAGCCTGGAGTGGAAGATCCTTAGACATTATTGCCTGACACAGTAGTTGAGGTACTGTGCGAGTTCCAGGTTCAGTAGTGCATTCCTCTCAACCTTGGGCCCTTCAGCATTACTGCACTGGTGCAGTTATCCCCACAGCCATAGAGAAATGCCACCTCTGGGCAGTGATTTGCTTCTTGCTGTCTCTTGCAAGGTCAGCTAATTGGCCAAGAGACCCCTGGGGTGGTAATTAGCCAAGTGATTAGCCATTAATACCTAGCAAGGCAGAAGAAAAAAGAAGTGTGGGGGGGAAAAAGTCAGACTGATGTTTCATCAGAGAGCCGTTTTGATGCAGTAATAGCATCACTCCCTTTGCTGGCTTAAATTGCTCTCAGGGGGCCCTTGAAGGTAATTAGATCAGGTTTTCTACCAGCATCAGGGAGAAAGTGGTACCTGTCTCTACCCAAATGTGAGGGTGAGCTCAGTAGAGATCTCAAATTGAGGTCCATGTGTGTCCTGCTTCCTGGGAGGTTCTGCAGGGGAGTGAAGGTGCTGGAGACTGTGCAGTGCTCACCCTGGAGGGGCAATCTGCCTGGTGCTCCTGGTGCCTGGGCCATGAGGGGAGGCAGAGGGGCAATCTGTTCTTTCCTTGGGGGACAGTGTCACTCATCCCTTTGTGCCTCAGTTTCTCAAAATGGGCCAGATTCTGGCAGACTGGAGTGAAGCTGCCGAATTTAAGTGCTGATGCACTTTCCACAGCTGCGCACATGAGCTTGCAGGCTGGGCCACCTCGCTGAAGGACCTCAGGCTGACTTAAGTGAAAGATCCCCTGCTCCGCCGTCCCCCTTTCATCAGAGGTGCTAAGGAGGAGTAAAACATCCTGCATCCTGCGGGACCCAGAAAAGGGCAAGCGGAAGCTTCCAGTTGGGAGATGGAAGCTGTTTGTTGTGGTGTCCCTGCTTCACAGCCAGCAGCAGAGGATGGGGTGGGGATCCCCAGGCTACTCCTCCGGTCAGGGTGGAACATGTCCCCATCCTCTCTCAGTTCCCAGCACCTGCTATGAGCACAGCGTTGGCCACTTCTCTGCCTAGGTGCTAGGGAGCTGCTGCTCTCCAGGATATGCCCTGTTTTACACTGGACCTAAACTGGTGTCTCACATCAGTCATACCCGAGTTGGCTTTCTGCCTGGGAAACGCCATCACAGTGCCTGGGGACTGGGTGCCGGCAAAGTGCCTCAGAGGCACAGCCAGTTGCTGTACCTCCATTGGAAGGGATCATTGTCCAAATCCCTTTGCTGGATTCTTGCCAGTGAAGAGGCATATCAGCGTGGTGCTTTTCCCTTCCCAAACCCTGATCCTGGATGGCCACTTGAGGCAAAACTTGTGGTACCTCAAGATTTAAGATGGGAAGACTGAACAGGTAGATGAGAGGGAGGTCAATCTGAGCCCTGTGGTACATCACTCTGGGTCTCAACACCACCATCATAGCAAAGAAAATGCAGGTGAATTTGGGCTGAGCCCCCAATCCTTGACTGTGTGTATTTAGGGAGTTGTACTGAAGCAGACGCATCTGTGTCACAACCCAAAACAAGCCTGTAGTTTATGTACAAGACACCCCAGCTGTTTTCCTGCTGGGTCTTATCTCTAGGATTATTAATTGAAATCACCCTAGTGATGTTATTTTCCCTTATTTAATTACCAGAATTTTTTTTTCCTGGGTTGTTAAATTCAACTAGGGGAAAAAAAATCAAAAAAACCCAAAAAACCCCCAAAACACCCTGAAAATTTATTGTTAAAAGAAAGTCAAACAAACTGAAATGGTAGCACCAAATTGATTGCAAAGACATAAGAGACAAAGAGAGACATTTTCCTGATGTTGAGTCAAAAAAGAAACACAAATGTTCAGCAGAAATAACTGAGGGTTAGAGAGAGATTCCAAGATTGATCTTCAAGCAATTAAGACAAGGGGATGCAATTAGAACGGGGTCTGCTGCTGCTGTCCTTTGCTGTTTTTCTTCCCCATACACAAACACACAAGCACACACACACACAGAGACACAGATTTTTGGAGTTTCTGGTCATTATGCTGCAAAAGTGGGGGGGGAACCCCCTGCCCAGTGCAGTGCAGGACCCAGGCCCATTTGTCTCTTCTGCAGGCTGCACAGGGCTCAGAGGTTTT